TGTAATGTCTGTTATAGTTCATGCATGCAATTTATTTTGTAAATGGTATTTAATTTTATCTCCTCTTTCTGTTAGATGAGCCTTTCGGTTTGCACCGTATCGAGTGAAGTGACTGTGCTGACTGGCTGGCTGGCTTGTGTTCTATATCTATTTCAAACGATCTTAATATTTTAGTTGTTATTATTTCAGCGATATTTTTTTATCTATGGCAGAATGATGGATTTTCTTGTGGTCTTTGATGATGGTTCCCTGTTGGTGTTGTGATTCGATTTTAATCACTTTTTGATAAAATTGTGGTCAAGATATTCATTCTTTTTGAAGACGGTTGTTAGTAGGTATTTTTCTTCCAATTCTTTTCAACGCTGGAATAGTGCCACAGTGTTGTGTTTGAATTCTTTTAAACACAATATCTGCACATAGTTTCTATTGTGAATAATTGGGTTATTGCTAGTATAGTTGAGTATTTAAATTAAATTAACTAGCTAGCTAGATAGGTAGCTAGCTCAGAGAAGGCACTTTCTTGTATCTATTGATTACTGAGAGAGTGAGTGAGTACACAATTATATTGCACCAAACCTAACAATTAGACTATTATTTCCATTGCAAATGCAAGCATGGACCCTATTTAGTTATAGTTTCGCCTATATGTACATTATTTAGTTCAAAAACTTCCTATTAAGCTTAGAAAAGACAACTGTGAAAACAAACGGTAATTAGGGGCTGAGAAGAACACAATAACAAAAATAATCATAATATTAAGAACAACAGTGGTAACCAAATGTTTTCAACCCACCCATCTCATCTAAAAAACGCTGATGATGGAGAAAGAGGAAAAAGAGCAGCTTGACACAAAAATATCGATTATAAAAGTAGCATAAAAGTTTGAATTAAAAATGAACAATAATAATAATAATAAAACTATGAGTTGAATGAAAAGAAATAGTAGCGGAATAAATTACCATAATGGAGACACACATGTGTGCAATATAATATATATATATATATATATATATATATATAAACAATGACAATCTTTTCGTTGAGTTGTGTTCTCTAACCTGGATGGTTTACTTGCGAAGCTTTCATCGCCCGCCCCCACCCCGCATACTAGGCAACATCCTCAGAGCATACTCTTCAATCTGTGAAGTGAGCTTTTAAATTGCTCCTGATGGGTGACCTTGGACGTGATTGGTTGCTTTTGTCTGTCTTCATATCCTCTAGTCTACTTGTAGTATTGGTATTGATTGTTTCTTTGACCTTTCTGTGCATGAGATTTTACTCTTATGTATTAGTAAACTTTATCGATTTCAATGTGCCTGTAAATTACCGATTCACTGGAATACCAGGCTTCTAAATATTCTCTGGTGTTTTTTTGGTGTTTTCTCTACCTAATATTTGAACGTTTTCCCAATCAAAACACCAACGGAGTGTTTGGCGACGAAATATCAGCACGGATCCAAAAAGCTCGAGCTACTTTCGCCAACTTACACCATCTCTGGCATGGGTGTGACATCCGGGACGTGTGTACTGCCCATCAGTTCGCTCCGTCCTTCTCTATGGCTCTGAAACATGGCCAATACGAGCTGAAGACATGAAAAGGTCCACTGCTTTCGATAACAGATGTCTGCGATCTCTGTCTCACGTTAGGTGGTTTAATAAGGTAAGTAATGTTGACGTTAGGCGTAGAGTGTTGGGCAAACAGGGAAAATCAATCGATGAGGCTATAAAGTTATATAGACTAAGATGGCTAGGTGACGTGCTGCGCATGCCTAACCACCGCCTCCCCCGACGGGCATTACTAGCTGATATAGGTGCAGGTTGGAAAAGAGTAAGTGGTGGCCAAACAAAAACATGGCCTCATCAATCCATGAAATCCTTGACAGTTAAACTGAGTAGGTCAGGTAGGAAGATGCAGACCTCCGGGTTGGGGCCGTCGGGACTAAATCTAGGGATCAATGGTTGGAGACAATAGGCGACATGGCTGAAAATCGTTGTCAATGGACAGTGCAGATATATTCAGTCTCTGTAATCTTTCATATTCCTTTCTACCATTACCCATTCTGTTTCACTCTTATACTTGTCAAACTCTATTGATTCTCTTCACTCATCTTCTTGTCTACCTTTGTATGCTATTTGGAACGTGGTAGCTGGAACTGGTGCACTTCGGTGCAAAGTTTTATGTTGAATCCAGACAGATCAATCAAATTAGTGTATGTGATTGTCTGTATGCAGCGGTATAAGGGAGTAGATGGTTTGGAATTGATATCACACACAAACCAGCAAAATGACCTCAGTCGATTGTATGTCGACCAAAAAACTCAACAGAGAAAGATGATAAAACCAACATCAGCTACACAATAAACTACAACGCTTGCAAAATACACCACACTGGTCAAAGTGGACGCCCTGTTAGTCTTCGTATTCATGAGAATACACTATTAGTCAGCAAAGGATACAATACATCCACACACACACACACCTTCAGATCACTCGTTGCGTACAGACAACCAAGGACACCAATTCAGTTGGGACGACGTTCAAATGTTAGACAGGCGAAACACCAAAAACACCAGAGAATATATTGAAGCTTGGTATTCCAGTAAATCAACAATTAACAGACACATTGAAATAAACAAAAATTTACCAATCAATAAGAAGGAAGTCATGTGAACAGAAAGATCATACTTCGGGTCAAGGAAACAATCAAAAACAATACATAAATAGATTAGAGGATGTGAAAACAGACAAAAACAACCAGTCACGTCCAAGGTCACCCGTCAGGAGAGATGACTAATTAACTCGTGGAAAAATTAATTAGTAGGGTGGGGGGGGGCAACGAAAGCTTCGCAAGTAAACTATCCAGGTCAGAGAACACAACTAAATCAAAATCATCTACTTGAGCTACACATCTTCTCCAATATACTTTGACAATCAAATACATGGAGTAGCGATAAACACTAACATGTATAATAAGTACCTGTCTAAAACTATGACTCTATACGCAGTCAGCAGACGACAGTCGATTAAGATGAAAAGTGACATATGTGAATACAGAAGAGTTACAAAACAATATAATCGAGTAATTATTATAACTGATTTGACATTATATCAGCTTGGCATCCTTAAAACTAAAAATTCTTAACTGTCAGGAAAGCTTTTTGTCCTCCATAGAAGTGTGTGGGCGGCGGTTATTTACTTTCAGGTTGCCTACAGTAGGGAAGTTAATTTCTTCTCAAAATACCTCCAAAAAAACAAGAAGCATTAGCTACCGGATTTCATCATGAGCTGACAGTAGTTAGAGAACCATTGAAAAACCAGCTGGGAGTACTGGACAGCTGTTTCGTCCTAGTTTGGGGCTCTTCATCAGTATGCACCCATCAGGATTCGAACCTAGGACCATCTGGTTATATGATGAAACCTCATGATGAAATCCTGTAACCAATCGAATTCGTACAAACCAACACTTGAATAACAATGAGATGCTCACTGGCGACTTGTCTTATTCAAGGTAGGTAGTTACCTGGGTTTGTAGTGAGAAGTCGTGACCAGTAGGGTGCAGCAGGTCGGGTGTGAGGACAAATACTCGCCGAAGACATTGGCTGGCGGTTGCGCTATATCGTGAATTGGCAGAAGTTAGAATTCATGGGCTGGCCATTGGATCGGGTCCCAGTGGCTTACTGGCCTACGTGCTCGCCAACGTTGTAACCAGAAGGTCCTGTGTTCGAATCCCAGTGGGTGAGTATTGCCGAAGAGTACCAAACTAGGACGAAACCACTGTCCAGTACTCCCAGGATACAAGCTCTTGAGGCCTGTCTGAAGTGGTTTTTCGGAGTTATGTGTGCATTTTAACATCTCACTACTGGTTACAGATTGGTACAAGATAAGTTCGGATACTTATAATTTTCAGGAGTCGACTTTTCCTAACCCCATCTTCTCCAAGGCGATGAGGCAGAATCGCTTTCTTGTTATCTGAGTACAAAACCACATCAATTCAAATATACAGTTTGTACATTAGTTGCCAATTATGCAAGTTAAATTAGCAATTTACACAGTTTGAGGTGATTATTTCACTACAAATGAGCAGAATTAATGACCGTCCGTCTGGTGGTTAGATCCCTTCGATCTGGCGGCTAGTAAGCACTACTGATCTGTGTGAGTGACATAAAACTACTCCATCTCAATCGATCAATAGTATACATATGGTCTTAAAAAACCTTACTGCTGTTACAGCTGAACTGATGCGAAGACTCTAGGAGATCTGAATTTCGTGGAGGATGATTTATGTTTCCAATAGCCTGTTGCAGACTTTCATCAACAGCTGCCTGCCTTGACTCTACGGTGAAGATCAAATGGCTAACAAGAAAGAATTAGCAACAAGAATCTCTGGCAATAAATCAACAAGCAAGAGCTGATCGCTCAACAAATATGTAGGAGAAAGTGGAGATGGATCGGGTATACATTGAGGAGGCCACCGAATGGCATCTCACGCCAGGCCCTCGAATGGAATCCAAATGGGAAGCGACAAGTGGGTCGTCCTAGAATGACATGGAAGAGATAGTGTGATGAAGAGATAAGAGAATGTTTGGTCAATCGTGGAACCAGCCAGTTGAAGAGGACGGCAGAAAACAGAACAAAGTGTAGGTGTGTTGTTGAAGCCCTTTTGTTTCGTTCGGAACCCAAAGGAATAATAATAAATGACCCCGTTTATGCCTAAAGGTCAAGTTAACAAGTAGCTATATAATGCGTCAATGATTTAACCACAGAATGTTCAGGAGTCACGACACAGGAAGTCCAAGAGTGCGATCCCGACTACCTGCTACACCTCACCTAGTTTACTAACCGATAGGCAGTAAGACCAGAAAGGAAAGAAAGTTGGGTGGGCGTCAGGGTAACAACTTCATTGCGTAAAAACACACAACAAAAACACCACCACCATCACTCAGAATTCAAAAGAATGACAATGAAAGTATGAATGAATGAAAGACCAACTAAACACTTACTCATTGATATTATGATACATTGATAATACTGTTATGCCGATTATTAAAGAAACAATTGACATAATCCAAAATGCAACAACTGAGACACGAACTCGTTCAACTAACTTGGCTCGCCGAACATCTTCTGGACTGGTGGTCATAATTCTAAGAGAAAACAAGGGGGAAAAATGAAACATTGATAAAAGTTGGGAAAGATACATCTTTCATTTAGAATAGGGAATAAGCAATATACTAGAAAGAGGGTAGTCAGTCAGTTAAAAATACTTGGAGTAGGTTCTTTATGGGTCAGGCTATAACACTACATATGTTATACGAGGGTTGGTGATAATAACCAGCTGTTCACACAGACATAGGCGGTGTTGGATTCGAACCCCAGGGACTCACAGCCTAGAAGATGGGGCGATAAGTCAATAGGTTGAGTCTCCCCTACAAGATGATTACTGATACGATGCCATATATACATACTTCAGCACTATGCTGTGTCCTAAATCCTTATGAACCTCATTCAACAGTCTGTGGGGAGTGAAAAAACAGGAATACGTTGAATCTATAAGAAGAGTCTACAAGATCTGGACTTTGCAGATCATCTTTGTCTAATATCACATAAACTCGAAGATCTACACAGGTGAAAATCAATCAGTTGTAAGAAGAAGCAGGAGGGAAGGCAGGACTTCAAGTGAATATAAAAGATGTAGATGATGAAGATATACTCGATGACCAACCACAACAAAGGGAGGAATTTGAAAGAGGTTGCTTCCTTCAAATATCTATGCAGCTTCTTTTCAACTGCAGACGACATAGACGAAGATATCAAAACCACAACTGGAAGCGTAACGACAACCTTCAGCACTCTGAAATCAGTTTGTAAATCTCCTGTACTCTGTAGGACAAAGAACAAACTTTGGATCTACAACACTTATATTAAGTCAGTCAGTTCTTCTGTACTGGATCAGAAACTTCCACCAAGCGTCACGGAAAGCATTTCCAGCAGCCACCTGCAAACTTCTAATCAACAACCCCCCCCCCACCTTCGCTGTATGCTGAAGATCAAATGCCAGGCTAGAAAACATTAACAACAAGAAACTCAGTAAACGAACCAGCCAAGAACCTATTACTGAAAAAAATATTCCAAAGAAAATGGAAATAGATCGGATACACGATGAAGAAGAGACCGTTGGGTGATATCGCCCGCCAGGCCATCTCGTTCGAGTGGAACTCGGAATGAGAAATGACCAGTTGATACAAGGGCGATATGAAGGAGAGCATGTCAGAAGATGATGACAGCCTGCAGACAGTCGTGGAGTCAGCTAAAAAAGACTGCAGATAACAGGATGAAATGCAGATGTGCTGATGAAGCCGTATGTTCCACTCTGAACTCCTTTACGTTCCTAATGGAACATAGGGCTTCAAATGAGAGACTTGAAGTTTCGGTAGCAGTGGTGTTTAGTTTTACGGGATGGGGTTGTTAACCAGCCTCACCTAACTCAACCTTCTCTCTTTACCAGTTTTATTACTGGCTTATGGAGGTAAAGCATTGCGTCAGTGGCCGGGGATCGAACCCCGGACCACATGTGGCGTGGTTGGTGAGCATTCTACCGCTGTGGCACCGACGCAAAGGATATATCTTGTCGATATAAGATGGTTGGAGACAATCGACCACAGGAAGCCTTGCCTGACCTAGGTTTCACGCTAGTTGGCACTCACCAGTCACAGCCAGCAAGGTGTATCTTCTGAGATTCGAATTCGAGGGTCATCATCAGCCAATGCTGCAGTCAGACACGTTACCACTGAGTTATATGTATGTATACTTACCATATATACTAAAAACTAAAGAGATACACGAAATACTAACTGCTGTTCATACTAACACCATCGGACACACACGATGCAAAAGAAACATACAAATCAAAACAAAAAAACAAAATAAATGCCAGAAATTTGAATACTCAGGAAGTATTTCTCTTTATTTCTGAATGATTCATATTTTAGAAGTAATGCAAATTTTCAATGATTATGATGAAAGTCATCGTACAAAAAAAGAGATGGTTTAGTCGCTATACAAAATAAAAGTTAAAGTATGCATAAGAATAGTGGTAGTAGTAATAAAAAAGCAAAAACTGTAATACATTTGGCAGTGTTGTGTACTGGAAAAGATGAATATGTTGTTGAGTATCGTGGTTGTTGAAGTCATTTCTCTAAGATCATTTACAAGGTGGTATAATCCGAATATATATACGTATTCCTGATGAACTGTCAACTACTCTGACTGGTTTGCACTGCATGATATAAGCATATATATATATATATATATATATATATATATATATATATATATATATATATATATATATATATATGAGAGAGAGAGAGAAAATAAAGGAGAATTATAATCTGTAGCTTTGACAACAAAAAATAATCATAATTTTATTTACATTAAGCATTTCTAATAATCCATCTCATGATACGATATAATATATATAGCGTTAATCCACCCTTGAATATAGCTTGTTGAAATTCCAAATGAGAGATTCTCTCTTCAAGTTTGACAAGATTCTGTTCAACAGTTGATAAGTACTGTTGATCCACACTAGACTGAGATGAGGGTTTGGCCAGACGAAGGCGTTCTTTACTTCGATGACATGATGTTTCACAGACAACGCCGGCATGAGCATTAGCGCTAGCTGAAGCCTCGTCTTGATTGACTTGAGAAGAAGCATGAGCTTGAGCACTAAAATAAATAAATAAATAAATTAGTTAATCAATTAGAATTTAATGTCTTAGGTGTTGAAAGAACAATGGGTTAAATAAAATATAGTTACTTCACAATTGATGTGCATTTCGTCTTTTTGGGGGACTCGTCATCTGGATGTACGTGTATCTATATTTCCAGTAAGTGATAATGGTATTCCCCCATTGAGACTTGAAGCCTGTATTCATTGTTTCGCAAACGCCAAGGTGTTAGCCATTAAGCCGCTTGGGTCATGAGAGCCACCTCTTGCGTTTCTCGTTGACTGAGTGTATTCGGCAACAGACATTGAGCATTTCAGTCCAAACACAATTAGTCGAAAGGGAAATGTACATAAGTCACAAAAAATTCAATACATTATGAAATTATCTACTATTATTCCTCTGAATTCGATATCAACTTATAATGAAATCCTGTAAACAATCAAATCCCCGCAAATCAAAACACTCGAAATTTTAAACTTAGTTAACGAAAAGAAGATATGCAGTAAGACTTAAACTTCTTCTTCTTGTAAATAACAAAATGATTAGTTCTTGAAATCAACTCAAATGTTTGAATAACTGACTATGGGATTAGAATATCCCTTGAAACTCCTGTTGATGATGGGCATAATAGGTTTAGGAGAGTTTTAACTTTACTTAGATAAGCTATTCAATAGAAGTTTACGGCATCATCTGAAGAATTCAAAACACCTTTTTTTTATCCTATCTGATAAGATTTTATAACCCATAGAGCAATAAATTAAAAGCCTAAGTGAATAACCAGATATCTTATCAAAATAAATTAGGTGGAACTAATGGCTGAAACCCGTGCGTCGGTGACACAGTGGTAGAATGCTCACCAACCACGCCACGTGTGGTTCCGGGTTCGACCCACTGCCACCGATGAACTCCTTTTTTTACCTTGCTAAACCAGTAATAAGATTGAGCCACGTGGGAAGATGTAGACCTCCTGGTTGGGGTTCTCAGGACGGTAAACACCAATAGTTGGAGACAATTTGTGATATAACTCAAAATCGTTCTCAATGGCTGACACAGATGCATCCACTCCTTGTGACTAATATTACACAATAAAACTACATTGTTCTTCGACATTACCATTCTTTTTGCCTCATATCTCTGTTTACTGTCTCTATTTTGCGTTTCTTTTTACTTTCCTCTCTAGCTTTGTGTTCTGAGTGAAATGTGGCGACTTGAACTGCTGCACACCGGTGCAAAGTCCTATGTTGAAACCGGAGAGACTGGACAGAAGGTTGGGCTAGGTGAGGTTGGTTAGCAGCCGCATCTCAGAAAAACAAATGCCACTGCTACCGAAACTTTAAGGCTCCAGCTTGAAACTCCCTATGTCCCACTGGGAATGTAAAGGAATTTTTAAAGAATGGTTGGAACCTAAAAGAGCCTTTTTATGTCTGCGAAAACATTTTGTCAACCACTAACTGACCAGCTAAAAGCCAAGAAGAAAGCGTACATTGTTGCGGAGACAAATAGGTAAAATGACTAACACTAACATGGAGATCCTCATAGAGAACCATATACCTGCATCACACACACACACACACACGATATAGGCCTGTTCAGTGGTCAGTGAAAATAAAACAGCATATATATATATATATATATTGACGTTACGCCACCTTGAGGATAATCGCGTTAGTTAAACTTTTAAACAATCTCAACACTGCACAAAGTTGAAGCAAACGAAAAAAGTAATGGTGATAAATACAGAAAGCGGAAAAATTGAGGTAAATAATCGATCTGAAGTGATCTACACTTGCTAACACAGTGCATAATAATAATCAGTTTTTGAAACAACTATTATTATTATACACAATGGAATTTTTGCAACAATTTCGCTGTTTTTACATGTGTACATACATTAAATTTTAAATAGTAATAAAGCCAAAATAAACTGAATGTTGGTGAAAAACATAATGAATTATAAATAGATAATATCATAGATAACACGCGTGATAATAATAATCTATGCTTATATTTTGAGCTTCAGTTACTGATTTAAAAAAGTTCTTTTTTGACATCTGACCCTTCACATAAAACCTACGGTAAATATGGTATGGTAGGATTTTTATATTTGGTTGTACGGGAGTAAATTCTCATAAAGTTTCTTCTGGTTTTACCCGGAGCGATACAGGGGTAAAATAGCAAATAAAGAGGATGTTTAGAATCAGAAAAGATAACTTTAGCCGAATGCTTGCAAGAAGCGAAGTGCCTGTTGACAATAATGTCAGTTAGCCGAGTCAAAGGCACACCACTAACCCTGCCTACTTACAGAATTCAGTGTTCTACTTAATCAGATATTGTCTTTTTTGAGAAACCCGGCGAAGAACAACGGAGAACAATGAAAAAGATTAAGCGGAATACATGAATTAACAAATTGTAAGAGAAGAGGTTGAGCTATGCCAGCAGAAGTGGAAGTATATGAGTGGTTATTATCTACCAGTTGCTCACGACATGAAGGACAATAGCTTCTTGAAAAACCTGAAGCAGAAGTAGCATTAGTGTTGCATGACCGCATAGACCAGCACAAAACTGTTTGAAACCAGTTGCTTGCCTCCTGTTTGAAGTGGTTTTCGGGTCTGTCTGTATTAAGATCTTACTTCCCATTAAGAACCACTACAAGATAAGTTGGGATGCATAGCCTTCGGGATCTAACTCTTCCAATGTTCACCACCCGCCTCCATGAGCGCTGCGACGGCTTAGCTGGCTTGCTGATAATCTCAGGGAAACATTGCTTTTACATCCCTATCCCCCAGAAGTACGAATTCATTCACAGACTTTTAACATCGTGTAAGCAACTTATAATATGACGATAATTGCTTCTAGTTTAACCACTTTTGGAATTGTCTTTCTAGTACGGTAGGACCTCCGGAAACATTGGTTTCGGTCAATTTGGCTTTTTCGGCCAATGAGATAGAAAAGGCCAACCACTACGTTAAAATAGAATCTATTGGTCAGAAATTCATTCACAGCTGACCAGTCAAGGTTTACAACAAATACTACATCACAGCTAATTTCATTATTCTACTAATCCAAATATATGTCATCTCTTTCCTAATCTTTTGAATTAAATATCTGTCCTTAAATGTAAAACATGGTGTCTAAAATTTAAAAAAATACAATTTTGGCACTGTGTTAGAGTATAATTCCAAATTAGATAAGTTTATCTTATATAACAGTGATACAGTGTTAACAAATGGATTATTGCTAATGCAACATTATTTTATATCAAACGAATTTATCCGATATGGTGGTAAAAATTACATCTATTTGCATTAGTTTTGTAATCAACCTAAAAATTGTTTGGACGATCCTGAAATGTCTTCAAACCTCAGGAAACATGAGATCGCGGCCGATATTATGGTCGAAGACACCGGTACCTCAACAACACTATAATCATTTGAGCAAAATGACAATCATTTGCCCTCACGCCTCACATAAATGATTTGCCACATAGCTTGAGGCACAAACGCAGAGATCCAAACCTGGTGCAAACTCCACAAAGGCTAGTCACTTAACAAAATCTACACATCAGGAAATAAGGTGAATGACGGAAAATATCTACTAATGAAGACGAACTACTACATTGTTGGAAAAGTGGTGTGATCACGAAAATGAGACCTCACAAGCGACAAATCACTACGATTTATGAATTACTGTGAACTTGGATTTTAAAGCTCTAACCCTGTTAAGTGAACTTCAGTTCGCACGCCTGGGACGCCACTGTTTAACTTCGCCCTGTATCTCAAATTCAGTTCACGAAATATACTGATTCAACGTATTTCCACGCCAGACCAAAAATAACGTCAACTATAATGCCAGATTTTAAAAACTGGACAGCTACCATAACAATGTGCGCATGCCAAGTACATAAGTGATCAAATTATATCCCATCTAAATTACTGAAAAGCACCATCTGCACTCACCATCTGGATGCAGGTGAAAAGTACAGTAGAAGACAGAAGCAAATGGAGACGTGTAGTTGAAGCCCTATGTTTCACTAGGAACCCAAGGGAGCAATAATAATAACACCATACCATCTGCACTCCAGATACTTGGAAACACTTCAATTAGTATTTTGACAGGCTGCTTTAAAATTTATACTATCTGAGAAATCTATGCTTGTATATGTATATATGTGCATACGCATATATATATATATATATATATATATCTTCAACTGCTTTCATTGTAAATAAAATCTAATGAAACTCGCCTGCAAAAGACCTTCGATTTGAGATCACTGTTATTGAGAATGTCTGGGCTGTATCCTGGTGTGTTCTCTGACGGACGTTTTGCGTCAAGAACTGAAAATTAGTAGGTTGAAATGAATCTAATTAGTAATTACTTATATCAGCAACTGGATAATTGCGGAAAGACACATCGTGACCCTCACTTAGCGTACCAGAGTTATCAGAGTCGTAGGAGAGTTTTTCTGGTACTCTCATTTTCTTGTTTATATCAGTTGTGTAGTCGAACTCATATGGAGTAAGCTTGGGGTACAGGTGATCCATTTTTCATACAAAAACTACGCCTGTTTGGAAGCGAGCAAGGTCACATCGGTATCCAATATCCAATATCCTGATGACGAGCTAGTATAAACCAGTGATTTCTTTGAGCTCGCTTCTTGATTGTGAGGTAGAGGTTCCAGATCTTCGGTGAGCTTCTGCGTAGTAAGTCCCGACACTCGACTGCTTTAGCTCTGGTAGACTCCAGGAGGAGTGGTGCGGGGATTGGTCGAGATGTGGTTTGTAGTATGCAGTATGTTAGGACTGTATTGCTGCCGTGAATGGAGTTTGACCTAACTCCCCTTGGTCATTCGGTGTAGTCATAAAAGCAGAATAGTAATAATAATAATAATAGGTTGTAGTGTAGATAATATAGGTTGAGATAAGTGGAATAATAAAGGTGACCTAAGGAAAAGATAGAGTGAGAGAAGGCAGAATAGGTCGTGGGGATTTAGTTTGTACGCTTATTCATTGACAGTTTGGTTTCAAATTTTATGAGGATAAGCCATTGAGACACAAACCTTGCATTTCTGCATGATTGTCTAGCTTCCGCTTAAAAATCTCCAGAGATGGCGCTGTAGTCACGGCCGCCGGTAAAGCGTTCCAGAGACGGCAAACACGAAGCGAAAAGAAATGTGATCGCACTCGAGTCTTTGGTCTCTGGTGTGCTATCCTTAGCGGGTTACCTCGTGGAAGCCTATAATCGCTTAATGGCAGGATGCTTTTATTTGGGTGGGCCTGGTCATTTAGGATCTTGTAGACGGTGATGAGGTCTCCCCTGTGCCTACGGTAACTGAGTGTGAAAAGACCTAATTTCTTTAGTCTTTCCTCATATGATTTGTTGCGGAGGCCGATCACCCATTTTGTCGCTCGTCTCTGGACACTTTCTAGAATGTTAGCATCCCTTTTGAGTAGCGGAGGTGCAATGATATTATGCACCTCAAGGTGTGGCCTCACATATGCCTTGTATAGCCTTAAGAACAGTTCGGGAGTGAGAGCTCCCAGCTGCCTGTGCATAAAGTGTAATGTTGCGTAGGCTTTGGCGACGTCCCTCGAGTAATTTCCACTGGTGTCTAGCTTTTCTGTTAGAATAAGACCTAGATCACGCTCTGATGGAACACAACTCAAGTTCTGGCCACCAAGGGTGTAATTTACACTCTGTGACCTGCCGGAATGAAGCTGCACTACTTTGCACTTCTTTAGATTGAAAGGCATTCCGTTAGCCAAAGCCCAATTTCCCAGAGTTTGCAGGTCAGCCTGCAATCTATCTGAGTCTTCCGATGAGTTTATTGCTCTCCAAATCTTTACGTCGTCAGCGTAAAGAAGCGCAGAGCAGTTTAGTTGGGGGGGCAGGTCATTGATAAAAATCAAAAACATCAACGGCCCTAGGATAGAACCCTGAGGAACCCCTGATGCCGAGGTGTGCCAAGATGATCGGATGCGGTTGACTTTGGTGCAGAATTCTCTCTCGCCTAAGTAATCTGTCAGCCATGCGAGAAGTGCTCCAGAAACTCCCGCCTTGCCTATTTTGTGAAGGAGCAGACCATGGTGAACTGTGTCGAATGCTTTCGCAAAGTCGAGAAAGATCACGTGGGCTGGTACCTTTTTGTCCCAGGATAGTGTCCAATCGTTCCAGGCTAGTAGAAGATTCGTCACGCAGGATCTTCCCCTCCTGAAACCGTGCTGTGCTTCGTGAAGAAGGTTAGTCCCATCGAAGTATTTTCTCATGTGGTCGTCAATGAGACTTTCCAATATCTTCGATACCACTGGAAGTAGAGCAACTGGTCTGTAACTGGTCACATTCTGCCGGTCACCACCCTTGAAGATAGGGGATAGGATTGCACGTTTCCATTCACATGGAAGTTTCCCTACATCAAGGGAGTGTTGGAACAGATCACTTAGGGGTTGACAGAGACTTTCTGAACACTGCTTCAGGACAGATGGTCTGATGCCATCACAACCTGGAGACTTTCCCGAAGCCAACCTTCCCAATTTTGCAAGTACCATAGCCGGGGTAATTTGAAATGTCCCCAGCAGGTTTTCGTGTGTTGGTTCTGCGATGTAATCTGGATGTTCTGTAGGGGTAATATCCTCGTTACTATTTAGTTGCCTGTGAAAGGCTAGGCTGAATGTCTCTGCCATTTCAAGACTAGTAAGAGATTTCCCATCAGAACCCACTAGATTGCATGCTCCCTGGTTGGTCGGTTTTCTTTCGGCCATAAACCTGTATAGGCTTTTGGGGTTCACGAGAAGCTTATTGGCGAGGTCTCCCTGAAATGTCCTTCTATCGCTCCGGACTCGTATGTTACATCGATTCCTGAGTTCAAGGTACACTTCATATTCGGGTTGACTCTTCGATCGTCGCCACGCGAACCAGGCTTTACGCTTTGCCTGCAGAAGGCGTTGTGTCCCTCTTTTCAGCCATGATCGTTGCTTCCTAGCTTTTGGTGAGACTAAAGGAACAGTGTCTGAGACCGCCTGGTGAATGATCTCCTTTACCACTCTCCAGTGTTCTTCTACTGTTAGCTCTGTCCATTTTTTAGGCCAGTTTGCTTCAGACAGAAGTCTTCGCATTTTGGTAAAGTTGGCTTTGTTATAACACAGATAGGGCTGTGTATTGTCCCACTGTAAGCGCTCGCGGAGGACTATGTCGAATACTATGACCGCGTGGTCACTACTACCTATGGGAGTCGTGATCTGAACGTTTTCCACTAGTAGCTGGTCACTAGTGAGCACGTAATCCAGTCTAGAAGACTTCCCATCAGGGCCCCATCTAGTATCCATCTTGACATTTTCGGTGAATCCAGCCTTCCTGATGGTATGCAGCAGATTTCGATCAAATCTATCATGGGCTTTTCCCGACACCAAGTTAAGAGATGGGGCATTGAAGTCACCAGCTATGACAATTTGATCATAACCCATGTCTTGAGTCGCTGAAATTGTATTTAGCAGTACCTGGTTATGGTCTGCTCCACATGAAGGTGATCGATAAATGCTGCCCACTAGATATTTGCAGTACCCAACGGTGAAGTGGCACCATATGGAGTCAGGGAGCTCTGTGAGGGGAGGGTCCGTCGCGTGAACACATCTGAGCTGTTTGTCGACGTATATGGCGACTCCACCTCCTTCTTTCAGGTCCCTATCTCGCCTGACTAGGACCATATCATTTATACTGACTTCGCTGTCTGCCACCGTAGGGGTTAGCCAGGTTTCCGTCAGTATTATGATTTTGGAGTTTAGTTGTGATTGTAGGTGTCTAAGTTCAGCTATTTTGCCTCTTAGCCCTCTCACATTACTATACAGGCAACTGGTAGTCAGTCTCACCACTTCCCCGTATTGGGGGGTAGTTGACTTGATATTGGCTATCGGTTGAGGAGTTATCCTACGAACTAGTTGGCCGATTCCCCAGGAACCGGCCTGGGTGGAACACATCGGTAGGAACACAAAACAAGGATTCAGCTCAATATCTATTTCTCAAGCTAGTGTGAACGAAGTTGATTTCTTTGGACTCGCTTCTTGATTTAAATGTAAGGCTTCCTGATCTTTGGCAAGCTTCTATTTAATTTTGATGTGGTTGTGTTCACTGAGCTGGATGGTTATTTTGCGAAGCTTTCATCACCCAGTAGGGTGATCGGGACGAAAGCCCCGATTCTACGGCAGACCCAAAATACACAAGGCAAATATCCCATTACGACCAATTGTATCACTCCCAGGAACTCCAACATATAATTTATCCAAAGAATTATACAGAAAACTAAAACACCTAACGGAATCTTGCGATCACTCCATCAACTCTGCTATCCAATTCCTAGAGAAAATCAGAGGCATCCAAATAGATGAACAAGAAATAATGGTATCATTCGACGTGACAGCATTATATACATCCATCGGACAAAACCTAGCAAAAGAAACCATGGAGCAATTACTTAGCAACGACGAACAACTGCCACAACAATCAAAAATGCAACACACAAGCTGGATGGAATGCATAAATCTATGCCTAACAACATACTTCCAATTCAACGGCCAAATATATGAACAAGTCAAAGGAACACCCATGGGATCGCCAATATCAGGTTTGATTGCAGAAGCAGTGATGCAAAGACTCGAAAATATAATTCTACCAAAGATCAAACCCAAGATTTGGATACGCTACGTCGACGACACATTTGTAATCATCAAAAGAAACGAATTAGATAAAACTCACAACTTAATAAACAACGTCTTCAACGACATCAAATTCACAAGAGAAGAGGAATCCGAGAACAAAATACCATTTTTGGACGTCTTAGTCAGGCGAACAACTACAGGAGAATTAGAAACTCAAGTTTATAGGAAATCAACTCACACAGACCAAATACTGAATTACAACAGCAACAACCCAATAACACACAAAAGGAATTGCATACAAACACTATTCAAGAGAGCAAGGACTCACTGCAGCACTCCCACCTTAAGAAAAATTGAAGAAAAGTATCTCATGGACGTCTTCCAAAAGAATGGATATCCACGGAATTTCATCAAGAGACATATACCCCCAAGCCAACCTACCAAAGCAAAAGCCACCAAGGAAAGCACAAAGAAAATAGCCTTACCATATATAAAAGATATCTCAGAAATCACTACAAGACTCTTCAAACCTTTAGGAATTGACGTCGTACACAAACCAACAAAGTCGCTGCACTCAATTCTATGTCAACCAAAAGACTCAACAGCGAAAGAAGATAAAACCAACATCATCTACAAAATAAACTGTAACAACTGTGAAAAACACTACATTGGCCAAAGTGGACGTCCCCTTCGTCTTCGTATCCACGAACATAAGCTAGCCGTCAAAAGACATGATATCCACTCCCTCATTTCACTACACACAGACAACTACGGACATCAATTCGACTGGGACAACGTTCAAATATTAGACAAAGGAAATAACAAGAATGCTAGAGAATTTTTAGAAGCTTGGCATTCCAGTGGATCATCAATCAATAGACACATCGAGATAGACAAAATTTATCAACCAATAAGAAAGAAACTTCACACACAAAGGGTCAAAGTT